TGTGTCTGCAATTTGTGATCTCTGGTGCACCTGACCCCAACCCTAAATCAGACCGCTAAATTTTGACACAAATAGACTACTATTTCACTAGATCGCCTGCCAACCTTAAGTAATAATGTAAAATAGTACTTGTAGGTGTAAGCTTGGCTGAGAGCTGCTGGAGTTGTCGATTGATTGATTAATTAAGAAATCCTGGTTGGGAAGAATTGGTCGGTAGTGCGTTGCAATAGCCTGGGGGTTGAACTGACCAAAGTGTGATCAACCTCACGGTTCCCCGACATGGCTTCACAGTTCAGGTGGGTAGGACCTTGAATATCTTGCCCTTGCTGTCGTGGAGTTTTAATCCCATAGAGGTCGCCGAGATCTTCAAAACTGAGTCAAATGGAAAAGATATGCTGTTGTGCGTGATACTGCGATAATTTGATCTTTGCCAGTGTTTTGACAGACTTCAATAATTTAAATGAGTTCCCAGCTAAAATCTGTCAGGAGCCTATTTATCCAACTTAGGCAAACTTGCATGGTCAGTCAGTAGGTTGTTTTGTAATCGGTGGATGGCGCCGTTTGCAGTTGGTTGATGTGTGCGAGTTAATCAAAATGCAAAGATCTCGGTTAGTGTCCCCTTACTTAGATAGTTTGTTCGCTGGCTGTCTTTACTGTGGGGTGATTATTGTTAGGGAGAACCGTCTTAACTGACTCAATCGCACACCACCCTAACGACGCGCTCACACGCTGTCCCATCGATCCGTCTACACGGCGTGTGCGTGTTAATATCGCGCCAGCCACCGGCGGGATTGGAGGGCTGCACAGCCACGCTCAGGTGAGTCATAAGTCCAGTCGGCATGCTAACAGCCCAAGGCCACGATCTGATTGGCTCAATTCTAGGCCGGCCTTGGGCATTCCCGTATGGCCAGATTTCGCTGTTAGGACTCAGCAATAGACTTTTTGTTCTTTCGCCCTTGTTGAAATGTCATTTGGGGAAGGAGCTACCAGCCAGGCATTATGGCAAGAATATAGCAATTATAGCCCGAGCTTTATACTATTGGATAGTTAGCCGAGCTTCAGTTTAATGGAGTGCTTACGGCTCCCCGGATAGACCGCCCGGGGCATCTGTGATTCATGTGCGGGCTAGTTTTGCGTCTCTTCTCGCAGATGGTAGTCAGAATAATGATTCGCTAAATGAAGGCAGAGTAAGTTCAAGAGTGTTCTGTAGTAACCTAACTGTACATCCGTCATCAAATCCTCTGCGGATGGTCAACTATTCGTGACCACTGCTATCCGTTTGGAGCTTGTTTGGAGTCAAGAAGCCTGTGCATTCGTATGTGACTTGTCATGCACGAATACAAAAGGTCTGAAAACGTGTGCTATGCCAGTATGAGCAAACCATGGCCTCGCAGCTTGCTATACGCTGGCAGTTCCCTGACACCTGGTTCCCTGCCGGTAGATGCGCTTGCGATCCCGCTGGATGTACAGGTAGTGGGCATAGCTGCCCAGCCATTATCCTCGTCCTTCTGACCCCTGTTGGGGTGTTGTTGCTGTTGCTGGTGAAAAATCCCAGTCAAATAAATGTTGTGGACCAGGGGGTCTGGTAGCACGCCTAGGTGCGGGTCCGGCCGTGCGGGCCACCTGCGCCCTCATCCGCTTCCGGTATTCTTAACTCTATCTTGACACCGGGTACAGGTGGATGTGTGGGGAAGAGGGAGTGCTGTAGATGCTGCGTAAGTCTAAATTCACTATAAAGTAATTCACGCGCAAGTCACAGTCCCTGCCTCACATTTTTTGGAGCGCACGGTGGGCATCGTCGAAATCGACGGCCGAACTGTCATCATGCACAATTAACTACCCGATCTACGGCAACCTGGAATTTCGGGTGGCGGGACACTGATTAAGTACTCATTTCCCATCTAACAAAAACTTTAGTGAACCATCTTCACCAAAATTCGCACTTAGGTTAGTGTTTCTGATCTCTAATGATGGTGAAGTTTATAAATTAGCGGATGAAGGCAAGATGTGGCCACTAATCCCCGCATAAATTTACCTGCATATTATGCCCGTACAGCCCCTGACAAGTGATTGCCTTTTCGTGTCCGTTGCCACTCATGCGGTGGATCAGTGTAGAGTATTTACGTAGAATGAAATAGCGGTGTTTAAAAATTACTAAAGCCTTCTCCTTTCTGTGTGGGTTCGAATCCCACCGAGGCGCCGAGTTTTTCACAGTTGGGCCAATATTAATTATTCAAAATCGCCCAAACTACCTATGAATTACGTGAGCCTGGTAGTAATCTGGTGGATTCTAGGTGAATTACTTAGGAAATCCTGCTTGGGCAGTCAACTTACTGTATCAGATTTGGTGGATTCCAGACGTTGCAGTAGGTTGGGTGGATAAACTTGACCCAAATGTGATTGAACTTGCGTCGTCCAGTGGGGCCTCGTAAGTCAGATGGTTAGAACGTTGGCTGTACCAAAACCTCCCATTGCTCCGAGTTTTTCACAGTTGGGTCAATATGGATTATTCAAAATCTGCCAAAATACCTATGAATTAAAAATTACTTTTCACTGTTTCCACAGCGAGCCATTGGAAAAAGTAGATTAAAAAGGCGACAGCGTAGACGTTGTACAGTTCAGTTAACCGAGTTATAAAGGAAGATAAAAGGGCTCAGTCTCCCGAGATATCGAGTATGTTAACACTTACAAACAGTGGGGCCGGACTCCTCCGATTGCATAGTCTACTTAAACTTCATATGAGAAAAATTTCTTTACGTCCCGTCAAGAATACACAAAACAAAGAGGCGTTCGTGCATCAAACATCTCCGTACTGCTGTCTCTATGCAATTCGGCTCTCTTAGATAGAATAAACTTCCATGAGAACGCTAGAATCCTGCGCTCGTTAGATGTTTCGCTACTGTTCATAGTGACTGCATAGAGAAATCAAATTGTGAACTTATAATTTCTATTGAAACACTGGGAGCACTGTCATACAAAATATGACGTAGATTTAGAGCTCTTGTTTCACGGGCAATAATCCAAAGAGTTGGGGGGATGGCTGTAAAATCATAGCTAGCGACGAAGTCCAGTTTGTGCCCCATGAGGTGTGGCCATCAGCGGCAACTTGTGTTTGAAGTAGGTAAAGCAGACTTAAGAAATCTCTTCCTCACTCATACCTGTGTTCCACTGTCAAGACCATGTCAGGACGATCGGTGGTAAACACGAACGCAATGGACGCTAAGTGGCTTGTCTACGCGTGCCGTACACGTGTGGCGGTTAAGGATGTGGGATCAACTTAAACCACACACAATAAGTTCGTTTAGTCTAATGTCAGAAGTCAGGGAGCTGTGAGGACTAGTTTATTCTGTACACAGGGCAGGTTTCCGTAAGGTGGCTGTTTGTTTGCGACAGAGATAAGCGACCGTTCCCGGAGAGTGTCAGTCGCGGCATGTTTTCGCGGGAGTGAGTGTCTGGGTCAGCAGGAGGGGGTGAGTGGCTGAGTGTTGGTCGTGTGATTGGACTAATTAGGGGAGGAATAGGGGTCGCATGCTCACAAGGCCTCACGGGTATCAAGTCAGAGGGTTCGACGCGCGTGAGGTAATGAAAGTTTGTGAGGAAAGCCGGGAGTCACTGCAGTTGTACCGGAGTTGCCCCTGTTCCAGCCGGCGGGGGTGGCCCTGTGTCAACAGCGGTCGCAGCCATCATTCGACAAAACGGAGCCGGAGAAACGGGGACATGGAGTGGCTGCTACACACGCACGACCTGGTCATCACTGCAGATTCACTAGGACAAAGTAGGGCGCTAAAACCCCAACGGCTCGCTGTTGCTAAGACAAATTGAGGAATGTGCACTTAAACGGGTGCATAGACTATTCATAATTTTATGGTTCTAACGTATGAAATATATCTACAGTAGGTGGGCTAACTCATGAAATGTCAACCGAAATTTCGAAATGCGTTCTCGTTTCGAAAAGATAAATTGTGTTGTAAAACTAATCATCATGCAGCATAATTCTATAATGATCCAGTTACCACAGGATGCCGGCCTTCGAATGAACTTATTTTCGACTGCATTCAAAAACCACACTAAAAAAATCCATTATTTTACTCATTCAGTGGAAAATTACTTCTTCTTTCTATTTTGCACTCGAAAGAAAGGGAATCATTCGGTTTTAAAAAAGTTAATACGGTCATAGGAAGAGAAGTTGTGAGGCGGTTTGTCAAACAGATGACAAGAGTTCTGATCGACGACTGTCACCGACGTTTGAAGAAGTTCAAGGCTGAGATCGAGGAGAACAGAAGGCAGTGTGTCCAAACTCTCGGCGATTCTATCGCCGCAGATCTTGGGAAGACGATCTCCGCTCTGGCACATCACAGGCAAGCCAAGAAGGGAGAAGTTTTCGAACGGAAATTGACTAAGCTAAAACCCCCAGGCACAGAAAGCGCAAGCTTGGTCCACAACCTCTCGTCTAAGCAGCTAACAGAGCAGCAACTACGAGTGTTACCGCATGAAACTTATTTCAACACTGCAGATGCCGATCCTGTCGACTTCATTGCAGCCATGGAAGTGAAACATCCAACGGCATGAAACACTCCGTCCGACAACGTGTAACTTCCTTGCTGATGACACACAGACCAACCAAATATATTTCGCAGAGTGAGTCAAAGGCTATGAGGGAACTGAGGAGGGACGACAGCATTATCATTTTACCTGCTGACAAGGGACGATCAACCGTCGTGATGAATAGAGAAGACTATAATGAAAAAGCTAAAGCCCTTCTTGATGACAGAGAATTTTACAGACCAGCACAGAAATCACAAGCCAAAGCAGTGACAGATCGGCTGAGTAAACTGCTTAGAGAATACCGGCATAAAAATGTGATCACGGAGAATGAATGACACCAAATGAGGGAAACTGACACCGCTCTAGCTCGATTCTATAAAATCCATAAAGCAAATGTCCCACTTCGGCCAATCGTTGCCCTAAAAGGCAGCCCCACCTGCAATTTGGCAAAGTGGATGTACTCAAAACTGAATTTCCTCCAAGGCAATTCGACTACTTCAGTTCGATCGGCCTCTCATTTCCTCATAGACCTCCGAGGTCGGAGGATTCAACCGGACGAAATCATGGTCTCCTTCGATGTGACGTCGTTATTCACATCCATCCCACCAAACGTCGCCCGCGAAGTCTTGCGCAAGAGACTTGGAGAGGCGTACGATGAGACTCAGAATGTCCTCAAAATTGAAAACCTCATGAGGCTGTTTGAATTCTGCCAACAAAATTTCTTCCCTTTTGCGGGAGAGACCTATGAACAAATCAAGGGGACCCCAATGGGCTCACCGGTCTCCGGTTTAGTGGCAGAACTGGCCTTACAGGAGTTAGAAAATATTGCTTTCATTCAACATGGACCGGTGTTTTGGCGACGTTACGTTGACGACACGTTCGTCATCGTAAAGAAGGACATGCTGCAACATTTCCACAGTCTGTTCAACGTAGTCTTCCCTGATATAAAATTCACGAGCGAAAAAGAACAGGAACAGCAGCTGCCCTTCATGGATGTGCTTGTCAGACGAAACCTTAACGGTGAACTTGAAACGACGGTTTATAGGAAGGCAACGAACACCACACAGCTTCTCGATTTTCATAGCAACCATCCGGTGGCTCAAACGAAGCTGTGTGAAGACGCTCTTCAAACGGATCCAAACTCATTGCAGCAAACCGAAGGACAGAGCACGTGAGGCCCGCTATCTCTGCGACCAGTTTGTGCAAAATGGCTATCCGAGGGCATTCATAAGTCTCTGCCTACGTGGTCGCCACCAGAGAACTCGAACATCAACGCCACCCACAATATGGCATTCTCAGCCATACATCAATGGTGGTTCAGAATCGACCGAGCGCATTGCTGCGGAGCTAGATGTTGGAATTGCAGACCGCCCCAAAGCCAACATGCGCAATAGGGTCATGAAAATCGAAGACCGGTTAAAACTTTAAGAGCAATCTAGGGTAGTGTATCGCATTCCGTGTCGAAATTGTCGTTTTAACTACACAGGACAGATTGGACGCATGCTCGGATCGCGCATACACGAACATAAGCTGGATGTGCGACGAGGCGACGCATTATCTCACAAGTGGCCGCCCACACCTACGAAATGGGTCACGAGTTTAACTTTGCAGCCACGAAAATAGTCGCCCACGCCGGAAACAAAACAGACCGAGAATTGATTGAAGCCTGGACCTCGGATGAGAACTCGTCCAATCGATTTATCGATCTGGTGCCGGCGTACAGAGCCCTGCGTAGTCACCTCCAGTCTTGCACCGTCGGCCATTGATAGCCTTCACGCCCTATAACTGTCGCTTGTTCTGGTTCCGCTACTACCTCTGACGATGGACTCCTGTACGTGTCCGAAAGTTCAGGATAATAAACAAAGCGTTCCGGTGCTCGAATCTTCTTTACTTATGCATACGCCTGGAATTCGAAATTTCGTCTTCATTCGTGAAAAAAGATACCAATTGTGAGACTTTTTAATACAGTGAAATGGTCCTTCATAAAACGTCATGTCTATGCATTTACCAGTGTGGCTTGTAAAGCTAAAAATGTGGCTCAAATCCACTGCTTAGTTTTATGAACCCTATATAGTCCCCCTTTTGTACCGTAGAGAAATGTATGGTTTTCCGTATGCGGAAATTATACGGCTTGTAGTTTGGGAACCCTGAATGCAAGAGTAAAGGCAGGTTGGTTTCGAAATTATCCGGGAATTGGAAAAGTTTTGTAAAACCAAATTATAGTCTTCCTTCGAGTGTGAAATTGAAATAAGACGTAGTTTTCTACTGAACGAGCAAAAGAATGAATATTTTTATGCATGTTTTTCATGCAATATAATTGAATATTTAAGGACATTGAAATTCAATGAAAAAGGCATGCTGCATAAGTAGGCATTTTTTACGGTGTATAGTTTTTGAATGCAGCTAAAAAAAGTTTTCTCGAAAGCCGGCATGCTGGAGTATCTGAATTATTATAGAATTATCCTACACGAGGATTGGTTTTATAACCCTACGTTATTAATTTTTTTCGAAACGAGAACGCATTTCGAAATTTCGATTGACATTTCATGAGTTGGCCCACCTACTGTACAATCGCGTCTAAGCAACACGGCTTTACTTTTATTCCTTAGTGGATGAATCGTATAGGCCTCCAAATCAGGTTCATATCGGACAAACGATCACATTTTATTCATTCTCTTGGGCAACCTGTCAGACGGTGTGCAAAGGATGCCTGGTCAGTAAAGACAGAAGGATTTACCCCCCCCCAAAAAAAAAATAACACCGACAAACAGACTGGATTCATACTGTGAGCAGGGCAGTCGGCTACCCAGGGCGATTTATTGCAACAGTGTGCGGGAAAAAGCAAAAGCACAAAAATATAATCGAAGTTCAAAATGATCAACAACATGAAGTTTTCCAAACCCAAAGTCAGGTAGACAGAATCGGTAGGGCAGTTTCTGTTCTGGGAGAGCGGCCAGATCAGAGAATAGCAGCAGGGGTTGCCCCTACCCGCCGGGAGCCATTGCGTCAGTGCAAGATCTGTACTTGCTCCACAATCATGCCTGGCTGAGGCCATCCATTGAAGGTCACCATCGATCGGCGCGGGGAAGTCACCAAGGCGAAGAGAGAGGCGCACGCGGAATAAAGGATTCGTCGAGTTTAAATAGAAAACTTGGAATCTATTGTGGAACTGCAGGGCGTAACAGTGGGAGTTCAGCGTAAATTAAACTCAGGTGTGCCCTTAACATGTCGGTGGTCCTAAATAATAGGGTCGAAGGCTGGATCATAAGATTTAAAAAATAATTGCAATTTGGCCTCTACTGAAAAAGGTCCAAGTAAGCATGAATAATAACACATAATTTAGGCCCATAAGACTAAGAAAACAGTAATCCCTCGCTGTATTGCACTCGAGTTTTGCGACCTCACTTTATCACAGACTTCATGCACAAGCACATCACGATGTATGCCGCGGATTTTCCGCTGGTTTGCGGTTTTTTGGCGTCCCCCAGTTATCTGACCAGGCTCCTCTAGAAGGGCTCTGTTTTGCTGCGCAGTAAAATTTACTTCATATTGACCCAACTATGAAAAACTTGGCGCCTCGGTGGGATTCGAACCCACTCAGTGAGGGGAAGGTTTTAGTACAGTCAACGATCTAACCACTTCAGCTACTAGGCCCTGCCGGACGATGCGAGTTTAATCAGTTCATTGTTGTCGGACAAGTCGGCGTGTCATCGTTGGTGAGTACATATAACTAATTTTCCACGCAAGTATTACATACGTTTGTGTACCGTGCACGCCTTTTATAAACTTTTCTTGCATTGTACGTATTTCTTGTTCGTGTTCTGTCTATTGTTGTGGCTATAAATTACATGATACCGGAGACGTCCGGTATCGTTAAACTAATATTTATATTCTGCTTATGCATATAATTTGCAGGTTTTTCATCTATTTTTACATTGGGTAATTAATAAACTCAGTTTTACTGGACGACCCTAGTAATCACTTATGATATGAAGGAATCGTTCAACTTTATAACTGGAAAGTGGTATTGCAAACACTACCCGAATGAAAGTAACGCGTGAATGCAGTGTTCGTATTTTAAAAATATGTATTCAACATCAGTGGAATAATTGTAATATATGTGACATAACTGAGAAAGTAAGTAAAACGAGCGCGCTACAGTAAATAAAAGCCTTTTTTGCTAAAATACGCTTTACTTCAACGTGTTTAAAACGATATTACGCACAAAATAAAACTCCTCAATGATGTGTTCTACGCGCATTGTGCGTAGTGCACAAAGGGCATGTTGGGCTAGGTCGAAATCGAGCAGGCGTTTTCGGGAATTCACACCCATATCAAATGTTGACGTTTGGGCTGTGCTTGCGCATCGACGTTCCAGGTCACTCCGCGTCAGTTAGGATCCTTGTCTCGCACTTTCCATTTGTTGCTGTGTAAAATCCTCGTCAGTGTACACTGTGGACCAATTGGGCTAACTCATGAAATGTCAATCGAAATTCCGGAATGCGTTTTCGTTTCGAAAATATTAATTAAGTAGTGTTGTAAAACTGATCATCGCGCAGCAGATTTCTATAATGATCCAGTTATCTCAGGATGCCGGCTTTCGAACAGACTTCTTTATGACTTCATGCAAGAACTACACTCTGGAAAAATGACTACATAAGTAGCATGCATTTTTATCATTGCTATTCGATGCCTCTAAAGGTTTAATTATATTTCCCTGAAAACATACATAAAAATACTTATTCTTTTACTCATTTGGTAGAAACTTACGTTTATTTTAACTTTTGTACTTGAATCAGGTGTATAATTCGGTTTCTGAAAAGTTTCTAATTGTGAAATTTTTTATTACCGTGAAATGCCCTTTCATAAAACACCGTGCCTTAACATTTAGTAATGTGGCTTCTTAAGTTTAGAATATGGCTCAAATCTACGGCTAAATTTTACAAACCCTGTATAGTCTCCTCATAGTACCGTAAGAAATATATATTCTTCCGTACGTGCAAAAAATATGGCTTGTAGATTGAAGGCCCTGAATACCAGTGTAACGGTAGGTCGGGTTCAAAATTATTCGGGAATTGGGAAAGTTTTCGAAAACCGAGTTAAACCATTATTTCATGTATAACATTTAAGGAAGACATAATTTTCTACCGAAAGGGTAGACGAATGGATATTTTAACTTATGTTTTCCATGAAATATAATTAAATATTTAAGGGCATCGAATATCGATGAAAAAAATGCATGTTACATAAGTAATCACCTTTTACAGAGTATAATTTATGCATGCAGCCTGAAAGAAATTCGTTAAAAAACCGGCATCCTGAGTTAACTGAAAGATTATAGAATTATGCTGCATCACAATCAGTTTTACAACCCTACTTAGTAAATCTTTTCGAAACGGAAACACATTTCGGAATTTCGGTTGACATTTCATGAGTTAGCCCACCTACTGTACGTCTAAGTTAGGGTGTATGCCGTGCCAGCCATCTCTGCTCTCTGCCTCTCGCCTCCGGTCTTCTGGACTCTCCCCGGACACCGGAGCCAGATAGGTGAGGAGGAGGGAGTGTAGGTAATGCTGCGAAAATTGACCACAACTATAAACTAATTCACGCACAAGTCACTGTCCCTACTCTCACCCTGCTGTGGAGCACGCGACTGAAATCGTCTGTAATGAAACGTGCGTAATATCTAAGGAAATACAAAGACCGATATAAGTGAAGATTCAAGCTCCAGGATTTAGCTGATAAGGAGTAGAGGCGATCGCTGAAGCAAGGGTTTTATTCGTCTGGCGTTTCGGATTCTCACTTGAACCCAGCATCAGGGACAGAGACAGAAACGGGTGATTCGTGCACAGGAAGTTACAGTATTTATAGGATGCAGTCGCTATGCTACCGCATACCTATAGCAATTTACCGCGCTCCCCCTCATCAGGGATGGTTGTCCGCTGGTGCACTAATGGCCTGGTGGCCGGCATGCAAGTTGTTAATTGTTGAAATCTCATCACTCGTGTTGGATGCTGGCGCGATGACTGCTCGGCCATCTGGCTCACCGGATTGCGCACTCCCCGAGTAGTTATTTACTTTGGCCAGCCTATGCTTCAGAACGGAATATGGAATGGGGACGTCATTGCACTTGTTGGTAGACTGAGGTCCCGCGAGCCATGAACTAAGCAACTCG